GTACTAAACGATACTATTCGAAATTACATATCATGGTTATTAGTATCGTAGCAAGTACCCTTTTGAAATTCAGAGGATAGAGGATTGAGTAGAGCATTGCTAATATTAATCAAATTTTATCAAGAATATTTAATTTAAAAATTAGAATAAGGCTCATTAGGGTGCATACTAATTGGTTGATTTGTGTTTTGATAGAGAAATACTGTGATAATCAACAACGTCTAAGCGTTAGGCAGTCGACAACTAAGCACTAAGTGATACGATTGGCATGACATCATCCTCCAAACATTATCAATCATGTCATGAAATATATGAAATCATACCCAACATTAATACACGTAGCATAATGATCCTTATTGATGTAAATTATTAGTGGTCAGGTAAAAGTCCTATGCATGAAACTTCATCAATCGACAAGCCCGAGAACAATTATTTGTCTGTGAAAAATTGCTCCACCGTGAAAATGCAATGAAAAGACTGTCATATAATCATCAAGATACATAAAAGATGAAGAATTGGAGATCCATTACAGAGCAGAAGATGGATTGCATGCATCCAAAAGGAATAAGGTATGCTCTTTAGCCTGAGCGAGATGATTTCTTCCCCAACGAGTGCACGGATGGTCGAAATGGGAACGAGACCACTCGAGCTTAATAGCCTTTGTAGATAGGTGGAGGTGGAGATGCGTAGCTCAATCCGCCGACCGGCGGTAACGTGTCGGGCTCAGGAAGTGAAGCAGGGGAGACGACCGGAGGATATGAAGTCGATGGTGGCGGAGAGGAGACAAGAGGAGGGGATGAAGATCCCGGGGCCGGTGCTGGTGTTTGCACTGGTGGCGGTGGCGATGCTACGGGTGGTGGAGGTGTTTGCACTGGTGGTGATGCCACCGGCGGTGGTGGAGAGTGCATTGTCGGTGGTGGGGTTGATGCTACGGCCGGTGGTGGAGATGATGCCACGGGCGGTGGAGTTGATACTACCGTTGGAGATGGTGATGGGGATGATGCCACGGGAGGTGGAGTTGACACTACCGATGGAGATGGTGATGGGGATGATGCCACGGGCGGTGGAGTTGATGCTGCCGACGGAGATGGTGATGGGGATGATGCTGTGGG